TGTGTGAATGTATGTATGTATGTATGTATGTATGTATGCATGCATGTGTGTATGTATGCATTTATTTATTTATTTATTTATGAAGATAGTGTCTCACTATGAAGTCCTGGCTAGGCTAGAACTCACTATTTAGATCAGACCAGGCAGGCTTGACTTACAGAGATCTGCCTGCCTCTGTCTCCTGAATACCAGGATTAAAGATGTGGGCCCACCACGCCTGGCCATGATTCTATTCTATTTGCATCTTGTAAGCCTGTGTCTGAGACCCTCTCGCTTCCTAACTTCCTTTTCCTGTCTACAAAAGCAGCTGCATCATGAGGGTGTTTTTTCTGAGAACACTGTTTGAGACAAGAGAACAATACCTTAAAAGAATACTTGCGGCTTATGCGATCCTCGGGGCCCACTGGGGAGATGACGTAGCTGGGCAAAGGGATGCTCCCGAGAACGGCTTCCTCTCGGCTGTCTTTGGATGGAAAAGCACATCACAACAACATTCTGGGAATCTTATCCAGGCCATCTACCAAGACTGCACTGTTACTTTCCCTTACATCAAATGCTTACCAGCACCTCTGTGCTAAGGGGCGGGACCACAGAAGTGAGGCCAACAGGGCGATTTCCCCAAGGGCAGAGGAGCATGCGGGTCCTCTCAGCTCACCATGCCAGTAAGTGGGCAGTATGTCATGTGCTGTAAAACATCTTCTTTCACCACCCCCCTCACCACAGAGTGACAGAGTTGGCCCTGCTGCTCTTGAATTCAGACATTCACAGACTTAAGCCCAATGTCCCCACCCTTCTGTGACAGCTCTTACATCTGGTCCCTAGCAACCTCTCAAGCCTTGTCTCACCCTGCCCACACAAATGTGTCTGTCCTTTCACCCCCTTCTGCATCTAGTATTTTCCTCAAATGTAACTTTTCTCCTTGTAACGTCTGTCTCCTCCCACACTGGCAAAGTACTCCCATCCTTAGAAGCCCAACACGAATCCTAAGCCTTCTCAGAATTCCCAAATGACAGTCCTTTATCATTTTCCTTGGACTTCAATGTCTTCAAAAGCACTCCGCGGAGTCTATGCTTGTCTTCGTCCTCCGTAGGAGATCCCACACTGCCCAGTCCCTGACTTTACGTATGCTCCATAAATGCTCAACTGGGCAATTCGACTCAAGTGTCCTGTCCAGTGGCACAGGAGAGACACCCAGAGGGCAGGGTGATTCCCCTACATCCCAGCTCTCTGGGGCCTCCAAGGTAACCTTCATCCAAGTGGGGCAAAAGCACAATGTGACTCTGGGTCTTGAGACTGTAACTGAATCCTACTTACTTGAATTCAATAATTTGAACTTCTGTGGACTGAAGTGGTAAAGCTGAAGCCACCAGCCATATATGTCAGTGAACACTCTTGCAGGGTAACAGGCTAAGAAACTCAGGCCACTGTTCTAAGGACTACAAGGAACCCTGGGTGGTCTGAGACCCCAACTCACCTTTATAATAAAACAAGCAGTAATCAGCCAGCACGAACCAGCGTCTTTTCCACAGCCTCATCCCAGAGCTGTCCTGCAAAGCACAGAGAACCAGTCAGGGCAGCCCACTCGACCCTCCACTCACCTGAAGCTGATCGCCCACAGCCACTCTTTCTTTTACATTTTTATCTTTACAATTTATTTTGAGGGCTAGAGAGATGGCTCAGCAGTTAAGAGCACTAACTCCTTTTCCAGAGACTGAAGCTCAATTTCTAGAACCCACATGGAAACTCACAACCATGGAATCCTAGGGAATCTGACACTCTTCTGGCCTCCACAGGTACCAGGCAATTATACATGCAGGAAAGATCCCATACATTCAAATGGATCTACAGATGTAAATGTGTGTGTGTCCCTATCCACAGGGGTCAGAGAGTGTTAGATCCCCTGGAGCTAGAGTTACAGGCCATTGAGAGTCACTGATATGAGTGCTAAAAACTCTGCAAGAACATGCAGTGCATGCTCTTACTCAGTGAACCAACTTCTCAGAGCTTTCCTCTGATTTTCTTGTTTTGTTGTTGTTTTTGAGACAAGGTTTCTCTATGTAACCCTGGCTGTCCTAGAAGTCTCTCTGTAGACCATGTTGGCCTCGAACTCAGATATCTGCCTGCCTCTACCTCCCTAGTGCTGGGGTTAAAGGCATATGCTACCGTGCCCCGTTTTTGCTCTTATTTCTACTCTTTCGCTTCCACCTCCCGTGTGCTAGGATTACAGGTGTGCCACACCATGCTTGATTTATGTGGTCCTGTGAGCCAGTCTGTGCTTTTACTGACTGAACTACATCTCTGGCCCTCTGTCACTCAATAAACCAATGAACACCTTATTGAATAGCTACTCTTGGAACAGGATGTTAAACTTAGATTAACTGATGGTTTATAGTCCCTCCCTCTTTCAATGACTGTGTTACTGAATAGCCACTCTTTAATTAGACATTGATATTAGACTCTCTGATGGTTTATCACAGGAAGTAAGGTTTTCTGGTCTCCTGGAAACAGGTTATTATAACCCATTTTCTTCTAGAAAGAAGAATTCAAAAACTGAAGTTACCTACTGATAATAAGTTCTTACTAAAATGTGTTTTGTTTTAGCTTTAGGATCTAGGCTATGAAATATTTTCATTCATGTTGATTAGAAAGTGAATTTACATAGTATTGAATAATCTTATGTTGGGTAATGAGACAAAGCTCTCAGCTAACCAACTCTATTCCCGCCTAAAGGACTGATTTTGTTATTTTCTTTCCATTCAAAGTAAAGATTTGAATTCTCTCTGCAATCAAATTTCCTCAAAACAAAAGTCCTAAACCAAACCAACCAAACAAACAAACAAACAAACTTGATCACAAGGAAAATAGTAATTTTATACATTAGTTTTCTCTAAGACCTAGGAGAATCTCAGAGTTGAGTTTAGCTGTTAAATCATCTTTCCTTGGGGCTGGAGAGATGGCTTAGTGGTTAAGAGCATTTGCTGCTCTTGCAGGAGACCTCAGTTCTCAGAACCACATGGAGACTCACAGCTGTTTGTTAACTCCAGTTTCAGGGGATGAAATACCCTCTTCTGGCTTCCATTTTCATCAGGCACGAGCATTGAACACATACATACATACATACATACATACATACATACATACATACATGCAGACTACTCATAAAAAATAAAGTCTTTCCCTATTCAGAAGTTTTGACAGGCTCGAATTAAAACAAAAGAACAGTTTTCAACCCTGAATATAACATAAGGCTTGTTTGCCACCCCCCACATATCCCTCCCACCAACACACACTAAAGTACAAAATCAAATTAAGTTAATGTTGTCATCTGATAGTCAGTTCCAAGGCGTGCAGACTGGCCAAATGATTTCTGCAGTCTAGACAACATTTGCCTCCTTCGTACTGGTAGGCCTTTATCCATCCCCCACACAGGGCTCAAGTGCTGCTTCCTGGGAAAGCTTCCTCAGTTGTGTGAGCAGAGTCGGCACTCTGCTGTAGGTCTGCGATGCTCTGAACAGACCCATATGGCTGGGGAGCACCAAAATGGTCAGGAGGTGGGAGGAATGATTTACTTTACAGTCCTTTCCCTCTCCTGCCACATTTCCAACCAGCATCCTTTATTGAACAAGCCAAGTCAAGTAGGATAATTACTCAGATGAAGATAAAAATGTAAGAAAAGAGACAAGATGGGAGTGTGAAAGGAGACATATGGCCAGAGGCAAATGAAGGGGCCTCTGGGTCTGCCCTTCCATGGGAAGGGGTATTTGGAATCCCTCCCACACAGTGTACAATGCTTGGTAGCCCCTCCCACAATTCTCACGACTTCTTTCGTCAAATAGGTGTCATTGCTCTGAGCTTTTGATTGGCTTTTATAGATGCTGGTTAGTGAGACAGATGAGGGATGGGTGACAGTGTGATGTTTCCCTCTGCGGAAGAGGAGTTCCTCAGGGCAGGAACCTTCTTATTTACCTCCTCATACCTACTGTGTGAGTACTCAAAACATGGTGCAGACTCGGAAAGCAAATGAGTAAGGGAATGACAGAAGAAAAAGGAGGAGCCAAGAGACTAGTTCTGGACTTGGGAGCTCAGAGCTGGCTGAAGACCAAAGACAAAGCACTGAGGGCAGGGAAGGGGAGGAAGAGACGGGGATGCTGGGGCTCCCAGCTCAACAGATATGGGGAAAGGAAGGGTAGGTGATGCACTTTCTATTAACTTTAAGAGCTGGTGCTATGGCCCGAGAGAGGAGTGATGGTTCCTTATTACTGAGACCCGGGGAAAGTGGCTGGAGGGTGGAGCAGGGGGGAAAATAAATTTGGCAATCTGGACTTCCATATGCTATATCTTGTATCTTAGGAGCCAGCCACGAATCCCAAGCAAGAAAAAGGGAGTATTTGTAGTCAAATGATAACAAAGGCACTGGCACCAGGAAGACAGGTGGGGCAGAGAGCTAACGTGAAGCTGGATTCTGGCTGACTTATCCACTCACACGGTGGCCTAGACTCCAATCTGCAGCCCCCTCTCCTTCATCTCTATCATCACCCCACACCCCCACTGACTGGCCCCTGGCCACCAAGAACACCAGGGACATAAGTGGTGATTTAGGTTTGGGGAGAGACATAGCAACCCTTGAGCCAACAGCTCACTATAAAAAAAAAAAATGAACAGGTTATTGAGTACAGTGGGCGGAATCCAAACAAATTCTGGAATAGGAAACTTTTCCAACTGTTCACAGCCTCCCAAGGCTGAGGGAAAAGCAAGCAAGACCCACTCTTCTACCTCACGCACACGTCAGCCTCCTCACCTGCTTGTGTAGCCAGCCCCTCACCACCACTGGAACATTAAGGTTCCTCCGAATGGCCTGGTCCCTCTTCCCAAAGCTGTGCACTTTACTGCTGGACTTGATGATCTAGGAAAAGCAGACCTCAGTTCTAGCAGCAGGGATTTGAAGGGGCACACACATGCTTGTATCATAGGAGGGCCGTTGGTGGTCTCTGCCATACTCTTAAGTGGCAGCACCCTCCTGTCAGTGCACGTCGTTGGCCATAGCATCCCTCCCGGTCAAATAGCAAGCCCCAGACACAGCCAACTTCCCAACTGGTTCACACAGAGATGTTAAGGGATTTTTCCACTAATGTTAAGAGCTTCTGCTATGGCATCCTGGAATGAACCCACCTTTCAGTCCTTGACTTCATCAGTTTCTAATACTTGGCCCCCAATCTGGTTCACCTGTCTAGGTCAGTGATCCTGTATTTTGAGCACAGAAACTTTGAGGCATTTCCTTTCCTCAAGCCTGTCTGTCACTGAAAGTTGCCAGGATCTAACATCATGCACATGTGAACAGAAGTGTTGCTTTCAGAGCACACTCCAGAACAGTGAAGAATGCATTCAAGAATCAGACACCAGTCCTGGTCTATCAGCAACCAACTGTTTCCTTAGAAAGAGGCCACCACCTCTCTCAGCCTTGATATCCTGATCTGTAACTGGGGGAACATTTCTTATGGGTCCTTCCCACAGAACTAGTGATAATCAAATGCACTTCTGATTATAAAGGGGTTTAGGTAAATACAGAAAGGAAAAGAAGAACTCATGACCAGGAACTCACCTTGGGTCCAGGCTTGGCCTCCAGGGTAGATGTGGTCCCAGCTGTGGATGTCTCACTGACCATGCTGGCCGGTCTTTGGTTTCTCTCTTGCTTCGACATATGTGGGTGTGGCCTGCAGGGAGGTGTAGGGGAATCCAGTGAGTGTGTGCCAAGCTGCAAAGTTGGAGGCTTAGTCTGTGATCTGTTCTAGGTTGGCACTAGTTGCTTAGCCTTAGAACAACTCAGGTCCCATTTTTTGGAGGTCGTCCGATCCCAGATTGTAGACAGAAGGCCATAATATCCACCTGTCCCTGTGCTTCAGGACACTAAAAAAATATTACCACAGCCAGATATTCCAGAAAAGGGTGCACACCACTCTATCTGTCTGTGGTCCTTAGGTACCCACGCTCATTCTCCTACTAGAATGTGCCTGGCAACTGCTCAAGGCAGACAATACTCTTCACAGAAGGAGGGAGCCATCACACCCTTATACACATACACCTCCACTTCCCCAACTCCCAAAAGAAGCTGCTTATAATTAGTAACAAGAAATCACTTGCGAACACATCCACACCCCCAGACATACACAGAGAATGCTTACATAAACGCCAGTGGGGCTTTGCCTCCCAAAATAGACTATTCAACAAAGAGTCCTATTCTGGGAACACTCAGTTTGCCCCAAAATAGAGCCACTGGAGCTATTAGCCCCCTGTGCCATGCCTGGATAGCAGGAAGCCATGAAGTGTATGTCAAGCCACAGTAAGCTTCCCCAACCAGCATCCCAGCCACGGGGAGAGCCAGAGCTTGGAGCACTGATCTAAAGAGATGTGGAAGAGCAGCTTCTTACCTGCCTTCCACGGAGCCCATGTCTGTACCAGTCCTTCCCACACAGGCGTGCCAATGCCTTCACCCAAGCTCAGTACCTATCCTTGAACAGTATGATTCATGATAGCAAGACCCTGCTAGTGCCACAATCTGTAGGCTGTCCCTGAGCAGAGAGCAGAAACCACAGCGGTCCTTGGTTGCATTTTGTCTGCTGCTCCAATGAGCAGCAGGATCCAGGCAGGTGATTAGCAGGCAGACTACACTACATTGAGGATTCCTGCTTCAAGAGTGGAGAAAAATCACTTCAGAAGACTTAGCCGGGACTCTGAAAAGACAGAGCTGGAAGATCCAGGTCAGACGAAATTGAACGAAAAGTGGTCCGAATCACTTACTTGAATGTGGTGTGACAGAAAAATTCTAGTCTTCACCTAGAGATTCCATGCTCCCTTCAGGTACCACCATTGCTCAAAGGACAGGGAACTTCGTTCGCAGTGCTCTGAGTCACAGCACCAACACTGCCCTAGGCAGGGACTTCTCTGCAGAAGTTGTGTGGCCACTATACTTCCCGCTACAGCAGGCATCTGTTTCCCAATGGGCCAGCTCTATGAGATGCTCAGCTGCCGCAGATGTGCTTCACACAAGGCAGAAAGCTGGTTGACTCCTTATCAGCCAGGCTCATCCTGAATCCCTGCCCCTGGCTTCCATCCCAGCCAAAATATTGTTACTATTCCCTGCTTGGATGGGGAATGTCACCAGGCTCAGCCTCTCCCTTGGCAGAGGCTGTGGCAGCAAGATCATGGCGTGGGGGTGGGAAGAAGCTCTGTGAAGCTGCCTTGCCCTCCCTCTGCCTCTAAGCAGTACAACCAATCATCATCCTCCCAGGACCCTGTCCTGCCCAGCTTTCCAGAAGGAGGGACAAGGGAGAAGAACTCTTGGGTTGCCTGTTAGGATGGCTGTATCTCTCCACTAAAACCTAAGACACAACCAGTAAGTGAGACAAAATAAAGGTGCTTTCCTCCAAGTCTGAGGACCTGAGGTCAATCCCTGGGATCTACATGGTAAAAGCAAGAACCAATTCCCACTAGCTGTCCTATACAGACAAACAGACAGACAGACAGACAGACACACACATATACACTCTCGTGTGCACACACACTGACACACACAGATATATATTCACACACAAACACACATATCTGCCTACAAACTCATGCATACACATATAAATAAATTCAAGACTTAAGAGCCAATCTCACAGAGGTTATCTGTGATTTTAACAAGTTCAATCGGCTTTCCTGTGAGATGTATATTATAGGTTATTTAACAAGATACATGAAAAAGGTGAATGAAGGGGGATGTCACATAGTCCTGCTGCTGAACGCAAAAACGTTTTAGCATTGATTTATGCCTGTCCTTTTTGATATGCCTGCTTTGATTTGGGGGCACATTTTAACATAAACATTTCCTCATCACTTTAAAATTATCTAAATCACCATAAATAAACACAACCCTTTTTTATCAAGAGCTCCCCCATGCCTTCTCTACAGGACAATGAAAAAGATTCTGGATTTCTGGCTAGCCCAGGAAACCCAGGAGTGAGCACATTGCCCCCCTCCCCCCCCTTTTTTTCCATCTGAACTTTAAACAGTGCCCTAGGCGCTGGCTGGGAGTTCTCTCAGCCAATAGCATGAGAAGAAAGACAACTTGGCCACAGGTTTGGATGAGAAAAGAGGACAGAGTTCCTGCTGAAGGAGCCAGCTGTAGAGAGATTTTGTCTGGAGAAAGACTGGCTATAGTCACAGCACTGACATCAAAGGGAGGCAGCGGGAGGCAGGTCAAGAAAGAAAACCCAAGCCGGGCAGTGGTGGCGCACGCCTTTAATCCCAGCACTTGGGAGGCAGAGGCAGGTGGATTTCTGAGTTTGAGGCCAGCCTGGTCTACAGAGTGAGTGCCAGGGCTACACAGAGAAACCCTGTCTCAAAAAACCAAAAAAAAAAAAAAGAAAAAGAAAAAAAAAGAATAAGAAAAAGAAAAAGAAAGGAAAACCCAAATCTGTCCTAGGAGGTGACTGTGTTGTCTCTACTAACATTGCAGAAACAGATCCCCATTCAAACAGCCCCCAACCCAGCTCTGAAAGAACAAGACACACACACAGCCCCCCATCCAAGAATCAGGGCCAGTCATCGGGGATGCGGGCTAGATTCTCTCCACGGGCGACCCTGAGTGATGACTTTGGAAATGGCCGCAAGCTATTTACTAGAGTTACAACTACTAACCCACTTCACATCAAAAATAGATAGGAGAAAGGAGCAAGACAATTTTCTCAGTTGGATGAAACACTGGCACTCAGAAAAGCTTCCGGAGCGGTTTAACCCCATGGATTTGAGCAACAGGAGCATCCATGAACCCTCCTGAATAGATAAGCCAGGAAACCCAGAATGAGTGAGCGGGGCATCACTCAACAAAGGGAATTCAGGTCCATTTGTTTCAGCTCAGCTCACCAGACAGACATCTTCCTCACTAAAGGGGCTGGTGGGGCAGACTTGCTGATCTTTCCTCAAGTCCTTAGCCTGAATGTACTCCAATAATAAGTTTCACCCAAGAAATGATCCCAGAAGACATATAGTTCTCCCATCAGCCTGCCCTCAGGCATACTGCATCCCACAGAGGAGACCACAGAACCTGCATGCTCAGACTATTAGCGTCCTTACATAAAATCCATTCACTATAAGCCTGCTTGCCGGGTTTCTGTACTGTCTGAATTCCCAGTACAGTGGGATGGCTGAAACAAAGACCTCCCTTTCCTTCACTTAAGCTACATGAATGCAGATTCTTTTGCTGCAGGGGTGTGGGCTGAAGTTCAAATCAGTGAGCAAGACTTTGAGCTCAGCTGCCTTCTGTTAGTACCAAACAAAAGAAGTGAAGACTAGACAAAATCAGCCGGGAGGAAGCCCACTGGAAAATGGCTGGATTCTACCCTGGCCTTAGCCATAAAGTGGCTTTCTCTGCGCCTCAAGACAGTGTGCATGATCCCACAGGCAAAGCAAAAAACTACAGGTTCCAGAAGCCATTTGCTCTGAGCACTGGCATGCCATCACAGCAGGACCTCTCCCCCTCTCTCTTATGCGAGTCAAAAGAGATAATCAAACTGAGAGGGACAGGTGCATATAGTACAGCAATCGGTGGGACAATGCTGCAGTGCCACCTGAACAGCTAAGTGCCGGGTGCTTTCTCTGTATCCTCTCAGCTATACAGCTTGTCTGGTTTATCACCCTTGCTTTGTAGATGAGTCCCAGACAGATTAATGACTTGCCTAAGATAGCTATCATGCTCTAAACCCTGGGCTTACTCAGGGGTCTGAGGCAGGGGAACTGAAAGTTCAAAACTATAGGGTGAACTCATAGCAAGCCTGGGCAACTTAGTGAGATTCCATTTTACAGTGTAAAGGTGACCTTGGCTATGGCTCAGTAATAGAGTGCTTGCCTGGGAAGACCTGGGGAAGTTCCTAGTGCTGCAAAGACTAAAAACAGCTTAAAACAATGAACTTGGTGGGTCTGCCATGAAGAGATCACAAGTTCCCAGTGCCAAGTCCCAAGGTAGACCTTGGCTAGATCAGCCACAAGGCCAACTCTAAACCAAGGGGGCCCGACGTGGCAGAAAGAGCGAGAGCGGAGATAACCGGATTTCAGGAGAGCTCTGACGTTATGACTTTTCCACAAATCAGCTCTCTGTGCCTCAGTTTCTATTTTGTAAAATGGGCTGCAAACCATCACTCTCTCCGCAAGGCAGCTTATACATGAAAACAACTTTCTGAGAACCAGGAAGAACTGTGAGACCAACACCATTCCTATGTCTCCACTGGAGACCCCAGAACCTAAATCCCATTCACAGTTTATTTTTATTACCAGAAAGCTCAGACCACAATGGTTTCTTAGCAACGCTTTACCTGTGACAATTTTAGTCAAAGTACAAAAACTATGGCAGGCTTTTCTCTTAAGTGGTCAAGGCAACGGCAGGAAGTCAGAAGGTTATAGGGAAACAGAACTCTATTACTAAATTAAAAAAAAAAACCTTATTGGGGTGGGGATACAGCTGGGTGGGTCACAGTGTTCTTGCCTAGTGTGGTTAAGACCCTCAATTTAAATTCCAGCATTGAAAAATAAAAAAGCCTCATTTAATGTTTTCCCACGAATTTCTAGATAAATGGACCCCAACTAACTTCAGGCTCTGTCCTCAAAGATTGCAAAGACAAAAGAATTAAGCTGAGTAGTGGCTGTGAATGGAAGGCTGAGACACAAGCACACATTTAAGGAGCACAATCTACAATTGAAGATGAGAAGGGGGGAGAGAGAGAGAGAGAGAGAGAGAGAGAGAGAGAGAGAGAGAGAAAATATGAATTAGTTCTTGTCCCAAAGAAGCAGGGACACCTACATAACCCTCTTCCCAGAACAAGAGACACAGACAGGCTGCCAACGCTTACCATCAACTCCCAACACCCCGGGGGAGGCTGTCTGACATGGGATTTCAATGCAGCAAAGACAGCCTCATTCCATCACAACTCACTATGTGCTTTCCCCGTCCCCCTTAATTCCTTAAAAAACAGGCTGGAAAAGAGCCCAAACAGCACCCCCTCACCTGGCATGAAAACAGCTCAGGCAGTTGTGCCCCTAACCTTTGTCACAGCATTGTCCTGAACTTCCCTCAGAGTCCTCAGGCTGGACTGCCTTGGGCAGTCTCTTAGCCTCTCCAGACTCCATGACTATCTATCTGTGCAGGATGAGAGCAGTACATAGACTGTGAGATGCTCCCATTCAATTCTGCCTCCCCCAGCCTGTCCGTTCCTCAGGCCTGATCTACCGAGCAGCCACCTGTCTCAGCAAACTAGTTGTTAAATAGCAATCAGATCAATTCCCAGACTGGGGGGAAGCAAAAGAAACAGACAAGAAGTCACAGGAGAAATCACACTTCTGTTTTTGACCAATAGCTTCCCTTCCACATAGCAAAGCCACCACGACTACATATTTGGCCAGCAGAAAAGAGCCAAAGATGTGGGTATCACGTGGCAATGACTGCATTCCCAGTGTCAAGGCCCTTCAAAACATCCACATCAAAAACTGTCACCAGGCCCTGAGTGAACTAAGGGCCCCCATCCCCGTGTATCCCCTTACCTGTGACTATCACAAACGCTGTCTGAAAATCCAGAGAGGAAAGCCAGTCAAGTTTCTGCATCTGCTTGCCAGGTGTTTGCATTTCTCCTCATCTTTTCTGCTGCCATGGCAACCAAACGCAACAGGCAAAGCTAGCCCAAGACTATCAGTGTCTAGAGAGAAGGTGTTGGTTCTCCCAGTCACTGATGGCAACATACAAGACTCTCACAGCCCAGAACCCTAAGGACAAGCACGGGGCAGCTTCCTTCTGGAGCCGGAGTGCCCTCTCCTCACTCTTATCTCTGGCTGCCAGCTTTTACCAACATGTAGCTACAGGAGGAGTAGGAGACAGCATCACTAGCAGCAGGAGATTCCCACCTAAGCCAACAAGCTGCACCAGTCTCAGAAGAGTTAGCCCTGAAACCTGTAAAATAAAGCCTCTTCTGCAAAGGGGCCAAAGTTCAGTAAGAGACTGCCTACCTTCAGCAAGCTCAGATCTCTTTTAGAGCTGTCTTCAAGCACCACTCACATTACCAGCAATTTGAACAAGTGTTTTCTTTATCCAAATACACAAATGACAAAATGAGAGAGTAGATGAAACTCACTGGGCGCAGGAAAGGGAAGGCTAAGTGAGGGTGCCCTTGGTGAGGAGCCTCCAAGGGAGCCCATGTGCCTTGCAGTTGGCTGCTCAGCACAACAGTGGGCTTCTGGACTTCCAAACCAAGTGCACTCTCACTCAAGCCAGGCTCAACCTCCACATGAAATGCTTTGCAGAATCTGGGGATTAGTGTACACAGCCTGCTGCCAGCCAGCTGCCGTCATTGCTCAGGAATGTTTCTGTCCTCTTCCCCAGAGCTGTAGAGACACCCTAGCACTGAGGAGAAGAAAGCATGTGCCTGTGCTTGAGGATCAGATATGGAAATCACATTCCTGGACCTTCCAAGGTCCTTGTATGCAGGTAGACCTGTTAGCTACTGTGATAATTAGTTTTGTCAACTTGATACAACCTAGAATCACAAGGAGAGTCTAGATGAGTGAGTTGTTTACATTGGGTTAGCCTGTGGGCATGTCTACTGGTGACTATCTTAATTAAGTCAACTGATTTAGGAAGATCCAGCCCACTGTGGGCAGCACCATCCTCTAGGCAGAAGGTCCTGAACTATGTTAAAGAGTTAGAGAAAGCAAGCTGAGTGCAACCAAGGAAACAATCATCTTACATTAATGATGTGCTCTTGGCTGCATGTGCTGTGACTAGCTGTTTGATTTGACTCCCCTGTGATAACAGACTATAACCTAGAAGTGTAAGCTGAAACAAACCCCTTCCCTCACTAGTTGCTTTTTTGTCACAATGTTTTACCACAACTACAGAAATAAAACTAGGACAACCACAAAAGGCCAGACACATGCTGATAATTGAAGAAAACCAGAAGGCATCAGGAAGAGGCTTCAGAAGAACAGTACAGATGATTTGATCATGAGCCAGGAGACCCTATAACAGTGCTGGAGAAGGGTTCCTAAAGAAGAGACAATAAAGGAGGCGTGGTGTCTTTGAAGCAAGCCTAAAGTTACTACAGATCAATTACAGCTAGAACCTCTATGCAACAGCAACATGGCCCACTCAGCACACTGAGTACAGTCTGTGAACGGTTTTCTCTCTGAAGAGCACTGAGATAAGCAAGGATCTGCTTCCTCTCCTTGAGACACCAGCTTTGGGTTCCTACTTGATGTCCTAGAGGTTATGTGTATTTTCAACTGCAGCAAAAGAGTAGGATGGAAATTAAGTCAAAATTAGCATATGAAAGAAAGAAAGAACAGAAGCCCTCTCCAACAAGGTTGGCTTGTAAAAGAACAAAGAAAAAGGTGGGCTATACAAAGACCCAAAGCCCACCATACTGGACTATACAGTCCCAATTCTCTGTATAGAATCTGCCACTGAACCTTGGGTCTTTTTCCAGCTCTGGGCTGTTTCCACCTGTGGAAAAGCTTTTCTCCCTTAGTAAACTCTTCTGTTACTGTCCACTATCTCTGTCCAAATTCTGGTTCAGGGCAAGAACCTGGGAATTCCTGCAGGGACACTCTGCATCCAATCTCAGCGCTACAACCTTCCCACCAGGTGAGGAGTGTAGTCAGAGCATACATACTAGTATACAAGGTGATGTTTCAGGAGAAAGGGAGTTTTAGGAGGCTCTGATCATACCACCACAGCGCGTCCTGCAGCATCTCACCCTGCTCCCATCCTCTCCCCAGACTTGTGAAGACTGAGAAATAAAACTCTTCTCACTTGGAACCAAGCCAGCCATTCCAAGTCCCCTCTACCTGACACAAAACAAACAAACCAAAACAGCAGAAGCAGCCTAGCAAGTTAGGTGTTGAGCTCATATCTTCAAGCTTCCAAACTCTGCCTGAGTAAGGAGAACATTAAAAGAGAAAAAATACTTACTCCTCCCGCAGAACGTATTCACTGTTCTCTGAAGAAAACTGTCCAGTCACAGGATGCCTGAATGTTGTAGACTGCTGGTTGTGGCTAGAGAGAGGAGAGATGAGAAGTCAAGTCAATGAGGGAACAACAAGGACACCAAGGTCAGAATGCCCAGGGGCCCTGACCATCAAATATTCCCCAGAAAAGGAGGAACATGGCTGGCTGGAACTCATTACACACGTAGCCCAGGTTGACCTCAAACTCATACTGATCCCCCTGTCTCTAACTCCTAAGTGTCCAACTGATTTTATTTTCTGAAACAGGGTCTAGCTACATTTCTTTGCTGCCCTGGAACTTCCGTGTAGGCTAGGCTGGCCTCAAACTTTAGACTGACCTCCTCTTTCTGCCTTGTATATAGTGGGATTATAGTTGTCTTACCACATCCAGGAAAATACCATATCTTAGGAAAATACAATATTTTAAAGACATATTTCACTAAGTTCCAATATACTGAAACATTAAGGGGACGGGGGAAAGCCTTTAAGATAGTACAAGCTGATACACGAATGAAGGAAAACAGGCAACGCTCTCAACAGCTTCCCCGAACTGTACACCAGGGAGAGAATGCTAAGAATTAACCACCCACCCTGCAAGTCCTATCTTCTTAAAATTCCTCTCACTGCTATTGAATGTCTTCAGTTCACTGAAGGGATAATAAACGTATGGGCATGTCTCTGCAGCACGACCCGCACGGTTCCAACACAAGACACTTCTATCACTCTTTTGAAGTCAGGAGGGGCTGCTTCCATGCCAGGCTGACAGACTCGGCCAGTATGTAGGTGTTTTGTGTGCTGACAAAGACTGCCTGGCACTTCAGAAGATGCGGAGCTGGCTCTGGAGGCTGCTGGCTTGTTTTACTAATAATTGAATCCCCTTTCTCAAAGGAGAATGTGATGAATTGAAAAAGGATTTCCCAAGAACTAAATCAGAATTGCTTTTAAGTTTTTATAAAAACAACAAAAATCACCAGTAATATCATTATATATCTGGAAATCTTCCAAGGTAGTCTGGGATTTTATTTTATTTGTTTGTTTGTTTGTTTGTTTGTTTTTTGCACATGTACCAGGGCACACATGTGGAGGTCAAAGGGCAACTTTCAGGTGTCACTTCTCTCCTATCATGTGAATGGGTCCTAGAGACTGAACTAAGGTCATCAGGATTAGTAGCAAGCGTCCCTACTCACTGAGCCCAAGTTGGCAGTGATTTTTCTACATATAAAAATATGCTGCATTTTCAGTTTTTATACTTGATGTTAACTTTCTTTTTTTTTTTTAAATCTTCCAGTCAACATACAAAGTAAAAGTTTCCAGCTGGGCAGTGGTGGCGCACACCTCTAATCCCAGCACTTGGGAGGCAGAGGCAGGCGGATTTCTGAGTTCGAGGCCAGCCTGGTCTACAGAGTGAGTTCCAGGACAGCCAGGGCTACACAGAGAAACCCTGTCTCGAAAAACCAAAAAAAAAAAAAAAAAGAAGGAAAGAAAGAAAAAATTAGTAAATCAAAGGGCATCTTTTAAAAAATCTTTTTAAAAAAACTCTTAACACAGGCAATGAAAAGCCCTTTTTGGCTGTCACAGCCAATAGATCATCTCAGTTTAGTGACGTTAAGACATTAGCTTTACCCCCTAATTGAGCACTGGGCCTCTCTGGAGATTAGTGTATCTAAATCAGTACAGTGCAAAGGTTAGGAAGACAATCTCTAAAAGCCTGAGATTTTCCTTACTCTGTCCTGGTGCCTGAAGTAACATTAGCACTGGTCGCTAGAGCAGCCCTGGTGCTATCAAGCCATTACTCTAGCCTGCTTGCTCCTTGACCTAGCCCCAGAGACCCACCCTACCAAGCCTCCACTCATCCAGGCACAGCTGGCCTCTCAATTCCTGTTCCTACCCAACCCACAGAATCCTATGACCTCATCAGGCAGGCAGCAGCTTGAGCTTCCCAAAAAAACAGCTTTCTAGTTTAGGAGGAGAATAGCCCCCTGCAGCACCTGCTTCAGTCAGCTTTGCATCACATTCAAGGGTTGGGCCTTATGTGCACATAGTTTGTTTTTTTGTTTTTTTAAAAAACCAAGAGCCTGGAGAACACAAACTCTAGGTCAGTCCCATTTCCAACCTAGAGGGGGAAAATGTCTTGCTTATGGGAAAACAAGTAAATAGTAACACCCCTCACATCTGACGCTCAGAAGCACTTTAGAGTCGACAAAACATTTGCTCACACATCTCAGCTGTCTACACATCAGTTCCTCATTTTCTAAGTGAGACGGCTGGGTGGAGAAGGTGAGAGCTGTGTACAAGACAACTTCAGGGAAGAGTGTTAAGACAGGGCATGGATCTAGGTTCTGATTGTGAATCCCATGCCTTCTACACAATCACCTGTTGCCCCCTTCCCTTAGGAATCAGAGACTGGCAGCTTCCTTCCTGACTCTGGTTAGAAGCTCTGCAGGCAGGGCATCAGAACACTGCTTACCTTTACCACCCCCATCTTCCTTGCGCCCAGGCCCAAAGTTCTGAATGATACTTGTATGGCAATCAGTTTATCCCAAGCAGCCTCTGGTCCTATCGTAAGTTCAGCCAATGGACCCTCTGGTAGACAAGAGCACAAGGCAAATCTTCTTATGTGCCTGGAACAGATCCAGCAGCCAGTGGCCTCCTTTTAAAACACATCAACCATTCTACTCCCCATACTCCAACTCATGTCATCAATCATAATTCAGAGCCCCAGGTTCACGAATCCTGAGCTACAAAGTGCTGGTGCTGATTCAAAAGTGCAAGCACCCTAACATTAGAAGGAAGATAAGTTAAAAAACAAAACACCAAAACCTAACCAAGCCAACCAACCAACCAAACAACAACAAAACCACAACTGTTGCCTGATCACACATAGAGAAGCTCCCCACACTCCCTTCTGTAATATTTACGCTGTTCTCAATGGCCTCAGCATCAGCCCTTCCAGCTTCCAACTGCGCACAGCCATCAATCCTGTCCAACACTCTTAGATAACCAAGGAGGTAAGCAAGAGGCACAGGCATGTTATTTCCATGATACAGATAAGAGAAATGAGGCTGGGGCTCGAGAGATGGCTCAGCGGTTAAGAACACTAACTGTTCTTCCAGAGGTCCTGAGTTCAATTCCCCTGTAATGGGATTCAATGTCCTCTTCTGGTGTGTCTGAAGACAGCAACAGTGTACATAAAATAAATAAATCAAGAGAGAGAGGGGGGAAGGGAGGGGGAGGGGGAGGGGGAGGGGAGAGGGAGAGGAAGAAGAAGAGAGGGAGAGGAAGAGAGGGAGAGAGAGAGAACATGAGGCTTCAGATTATGAGATAGTGTCAGAATTTAAAAAAATAAAAAAGAGGACATATCCATTGAGAAAGAAGACAGACCTGCAGGGAGGTATAATGGGTCCTGAATACTGGGGTCATGAGTTTTGCCTGAATGTACACTGCCTGCTCCTGGCAGAGCTTCTGGCTCAGCACTCTGGACAAACGGACATGAGTAAGGTCCCTAGACTATGCCATTCAACCTGATACCGGTAGTGCAGGTTATGTGCTATCACCTGGCCTTTAGGGAGACAAGCAAACCCCACAAGAGGTACACAACTTTTCTACAGACACAGCCAACTACTGTGCTCCCTACACAGCTCCAGGATCACTACTGTCCAAAGAAGGCTGTCTGTTAAATCAGCCTGGAGACTCCAAGTTCTCTCAGGCTGCACTTGTTGTCCCTCTTTGGACCTAAAACTCCAGTCTGTTTCCTGATTCTAAAACCCACAAAGACACATGTCCCATCACCCTGACTCAAGAAACAGTTTGCAGGCCTGTCCTGACACATCCCTGAAATACCTGTTCCGAAACCCGACTTCCCACCTTCTCACCTTGCAGGCAAGGCCCAGCCTGGAGCCAGGCAGCTGGTTTCAAGGGAATAGAAACTCTCTTTATGCAGGAGTTTCTGCTTTGCTTTAGGCTACCAAGAAAGCAATCTGCCAAGTGATTTAAAACATAATCAAGTCCTCTTTCTTAAAATCCCTCTCTTTCTCCTGGAAGCACCTTTCAGAAAGGCCTGGCAGTGTGATCTGGAGAGTACGAGGGAGCAGGGAGGGGAGAGTGAGTACCCAGGTAAATAAGCAGGCATCACAAAAGCCAGAGTGGTGGCTGGCTCCACAGAGAGGGGCAGCAAACACAAGAACCTTGATAACAGAATCCAGAGGACCATGGAGAACCAGAGAATTAACAGTTTACAAGCACTCACATGCACCACAACAAACAGGACAATGGCGGGCATGAGAGTTTCTTGCACAGTTTGGGGAAGGTGAATTTTTCATTCATATAGAATAAGCACAGCCAGGTATGGTTATGGTATACCTCTAATCTCAGAACTCAGGAGGCTGAGACAGGAGAACCCTGAGTTCAAGGCCAGCCTGGTCTGCAGAGAAAGTTCTGAGGTAGTCAGGACAACACAGAGAAACCCTGTCTCAACAACCCTACCCCAAAAAGAATGAGCAGTGACTTTTATTAGTTAAATATTCCAATTAGTTAAAAGTTCCAATTATTTATCTAACACATTTATTTTTTATTGTTCTTTTTTTTTAATGCTCTGGAAAGCTGTGAAAGATGCTTTGGAAGAAGTAAGAACACGGTAAGTGTGGCTTTCTGATGGTCGTGGCATTGGTATGCGGAGTGTGACAGATGTGCTGTCAGCACCAGTTCTGTTCTCAGCTATAAAAAGAAGAAACCGATTAAAATGTAAGGAAAGTATCTGGCCCAAGTCTGAAGAGGCCCTCATCAAGCATGGAGCAGAGCCTGTCAGTCCCCTGTCCCCAGCCTTCTAACCCTTCCCTGTGCCTCCCAGGACACTGTAGAACAGTCACCCCCAGGCTAAGGCTGACTTCAGCATTGCCTCCAGGCTTCTTAAGGCACATTTTATCTTTGTCCTCAGTGTCTCAACAGAACTAAAGATTGTGGGTCACCTAATAGTGCTCCAGTAAATGCTCAGAACTGAAAACTGAAACTCCAAGAATGAGAAGAAATTGCCTTCACTACATCGGTTCTCAT